TGGATGCTTAACCAACTGAGCCACGCAGGCACCCCTGAAAGCTGTATAGTTTTAACTTATATTTATGCCTAGATCCATCTTGAATTAATTTTTGTGATATGAGGTAAGCGTCCAACTTAATTTTTAAAAATACCTAGTACATTAAAAACATTAATAGGCTTTTTTTAAGAGCAGTTTTAGGTTTACAGGAAAATTGAGAAAGTACAGAGTTCTCTCATATTCCCCCACCCTCCTCCACACACACACACACACACACACACACACACACACACACACCCTCTATTATTAACATATTGTGATGCATTGGTTACAATTCATAAACTAACGTTGGTGCACGTATTAGTTGGCTAGACTGCCATGACCAAATACCACAGACTGGGTGGCTTAAACAATAGAAAGTAATTTTCTCACAGTTCTTGAGGCTGGAAGTCCAAGATCAAGGTGTTGGCAGGTTTGGTTTCTTCTGAAGCCTCCCTCCTTAGCTTGTAGGTGGCCATTTCCTTGCTGTGTCCTCACACGATCGTTCCTCTATGTGTGCACATCTCTCTGCGTGTCCAAATTTCCTCTTCTTATGAAGACGCCGGTCAAATTGGATGAGAGCTCACTCAAAAGACCTTGCTTTAACTTCATTACCTCTTTAAAAACATTTTTTTAATGTTTTTATTTGTTTTTGAAGGAGAGAGAGACAGAGCATGAGTGGGGAAGAGCAGAGAGAGAGGGAGACACGGAATTCAAAGCAGGCTCCAGGCTCTGAGCTGTCAGCATAGAGCCCGATGTGGGGCTCGAACTCATGAACTGTGAGATCATGACCTGAGCCGAAGTTGGACGCTTAACTGACCGAGGCACCCAGGTGCCCCAACTTCATTGTCTCGTAAAGTGTGTGTCTCCAGATACAGTCACATTCTGAGGTACTCGGGGTTGGGCTTCAATATAAGAGACGCCGTTCAGTCCATAAGAATACATTATTATTAACTAAAGCCCATAGTTTACATTAGTGTTCATTACTTATGTTGTATATTCTATGGGTTTTGACAAATGCAGAAGGATGTTTCTCTATCCTTGTAGCGTCGTACAAGCATCATTGCCCTGAAAACCCCCATGCTCCCTCTATTCATTGCTCCCTCCCCACAGCCTCTTAACAACCACTGATCTTTTTGCTGCCTTCATAGTGTTGCCTTTTCCAGAATGTCATATAACTGGTGTAATTGTACAGTATGTAGACTTTTTCAGATTGGGACTTTTCCTTAAGTAATATGCCTTAAGGTTTCCCCATGTCTTTTTTTTTTTTTTTGCTTGATAGCTTATTTCTTTTCGGCATGGAATCATATTCCATTATCTGGATGTGCCATAGTTTATTTATCCATTCACATATTGAAGGATATCTTGGTTGCTTCCAGTTTTTGGCCATTATGAATATAGGTGCCGTGAACGTTCATGTGCAGGTTCTCAACTCCTTCAGATAAATATCAAGGGGCACAATTGAAGGATCATATGGAACAAGTTCTGTTTGCTTTTGTAAAACCACCAAACTCATCCAGGGTTGCTGTACCATTTTGCATTCTCACCAGCAATGAATGAGAGTTCCCATTGCTCCACATCCTTAGCAGCATTTGGTGTTGACAGTGTTTTGGGTTTTGGCCATTCTGGTAGGTGTGCAGTGATATCTCATTGTTTTAATTTGCATTTGCCTGATGACATATGATGTGGAGCATCTTTTGATATCCTTACCTGCCATATGTAATAGCTTTGTTGATGAGGTATCTATTAAGATTTTTGGCTCACTTTTAAATCACGTTGTTTGTTTTCTTATTGTTGAGTTTTAAAAGCTCTTCATATATTTTGGATAACAGTCCTTTATCAGACAAATGTGCCTTTTGCAAATATTTTTTCCCAGTTTGTGCCTTGTCTTTTCATTCTTTTGACATCGTCTTTCACATGTCAAAAATTTGGGCAGCAAATTTTAATTTTTTTTAAATAAGTGCACTATTTATTTTTGAGAGAGGGAGAGTGAGAGTGGGAGAGGGGCAGAGAGAGAGTGAGACAGAGGATCTGAAGCAGACTCAGCACTGACACTAGAGAGCCTGATGTGGGGCTCGAACTCACAAACCATGAGATCATGACCTGGGCTGAAATCCAGAGTCGGATGCTTAACCAACTGGGCCACCCTGGTGCCCCAGCAAATTTTAATTTAATGAAATTCAGCTTGCCAATTTTTTCTCTCCTGGATCATGCCTTTCGTGTTGTATGTAAAAAATATGTTACAAAACCCAAGGTCATCTGGATATTCTCTTGTGTATTTTCTAGGAGGTTTGTAGTTTTACATTTTATATTTATGCTGTGATTCATTTTAAGTTAAAAATTTTGAAGTATTTAAGGTGTGTGTCTAGATTGGTTTTTTTTTTCCATGTGGATATCAAGTTGTCCGGTGTCACTTATTGAGACTGTCCTTTCTTCAGTGACTTCACTTTGCTCCTTTGTCAAAGATCAGTTGACTATATTTGTGTGGGTCTAATTCTGGACTGGCTGTTGTGTTCCAGCTTCTTCTTCCTGTTTTTTTTGTTGTTGTTGTTGTTCTTGGCTTATTGACATCCAGTCATACCACCACAATTTGTTGAAAAGACTGTCTTTTCATTGGAAAAGGGCAACATCGTTGAAATTAAAAGTATAAGAATTTATTTCCTGACTCATTTCTGTTCCATTGATACACATGCCTGTCCTTACACCTGTATCCCACTGACTTGATTGCCTTGATTTTATAAGAAACCTTGAAATTGGGTAGTGTAAAATCTCCAACTTTGCTCTTTTTCAAAACTGGGTTGCTTATTGTAGAGACTTTGCATTTCATGTCAGTTTTAGTATCAGCTTGCCAATGTCCACCAAAATGCCTGCTGGGATTTTGATAGGACTGGTGTCGAACTTACAGATCAGTTTGGGAAGAACTGCCATCTTAACAGTATTGAGTCATCCAATCCATGAACATGGTATTTCCCCACTTATTACCTTTCTTTAATTTCCCTTAACCATGTTTTGTAGTTTTTCAGTATTCAAGGCTTATGCTCCTTTTATTAAATATATCCCTAAATATTGACTCTTTTTTTTTTTAATGTTTTTATTTTTGAGACAGAGAGAGACAGAGCATGAGCAGGGGAGGGGAAGAGAGAGAGGGAGACACAGAATCCGAATCAGGCTCCAGGCCCTGAGCTGTCAGCACAGAGCCCGACGCGGGGCTGGAACTCACAGACCGTGAGATCATGACCTGAGCCGAAGTCGGAGGCTCAACTGACTGAGCCACCCAGGCGCCCCAATATTGACTCTTTTTTTTTAAAGGAATTGTATCTTGTGTAATTTTAATGTTTCTCAGCTTTGGAAGACTACCATTTGGGGAATGTTGTTCTCCTCAATATAAAAGTTGGCAACTGCAGAATTCCAACCTAAGTTTGTACTGTCATTTCAGGAACATTGAGGGTGAAATTCAAATACTTTATACTTAACCATCTCAAGTGAATTGGGTGGTGTTGATCACTGGCCTCAGATTACTTCTTCATTCATTTTTGGCACAAAATCAACTGTTCAGCTCACCATTCTTTTGGATGACAGTTTTGCTGAGGCTCAGCTGGGTGGGATGGGTAGTAGGTGGTTCTGCTCCATGGGACTGGCTAGATGTTTGCTGGGACCACAAGGGTGCCCAGGCCATGTTTCTGTTATGGTGGCAGGCTAATCCAGTTGTGTTCTTAGAGTGAGTAGCAGGGATCTGAGAAAGAATAGTAGAGGGGCACTGGACCCCATGAAGCCAGGCCCCATTTTTGATGGGAGGTGCTTCGGAATCACATGTAATGTGATGTGGATATAGGAAGGGGAATAATTGTGCTCATTTTTTGCAAGCAGTTCACTACAGTAGCATGTATCCCTGCAACTCAGTCTGGCTGATCAGAATCGGAGTCAGTTTTTTCGCTTGGGAAATTACCCACCATCTGATTCTTGACAGGGACAAAAACTTCTTCCAATAGGAGCTGAATATGCTCCATACTTCTTTTCCTGGGTTTTCGTGCATCTAGGGTGCAGGCATCTGTACGTTTGGAAGACAGGTGATGTAGTAGGCTCTGTGTAGCATTGATTTTCTGGTTAGGGTGACAACGCAGGTGAACTTGCAAGGCCAAGGCCAAGGCCAAATTCCTTTTGCAGAAACAGCAACTGTGCTGGTATTGGTGCTGGTTGCAGTGAAGTTCAGTTCAGGGTGGAAAGGTGGGAAGGGTGCCAACTGTGGCCCCTCTTGCTCTGCTATAGCAAGGTCACTGATGTTGTAGGGGAGGCAGGACTTAGTCTGCTTGGGGTAAATGCACATTGTCTTTTTTTTTTTTTATCTTTATTTTTAAGAGAGAGAGCAAGCAGGGGAGGAATAGAGAGAGAGGGAGACACAGAATCCGAAGCAGGCTCCAGGCTCTGAGCTGTCAGCACAGAGCCCGACGCGGGGCTCGAACTCACCATGAGATCATGACCTGAGCCGAAGTCGGATGCTTAACCGCCTGAGCCACCCAGGTGCCTCTAAATGCACTCTGTCTTAATTGGAGACGATGACTGCTTGTTAGAGTTACTGAAACAAGTCCATGCCCTAGAGATGTGTTGGGTGGGTCTCCCAGCCCATATCCCTCGGGTTCACGGAAAACCTTGATGTCCAGATGCCCCTCATTGGCTTCCAGTGTCTCTGTGAACTCTGCACAGTGCGGGCGGCATCTGAGGCTCTTGGGTGCGTGAATGGCACATGCACCTGCGTTTGCTTTTCATTTCGGTACAACAGTCTGGGGGCTGCACTCCTCGTGATCAATAACATGTGGGCTGGTCAGTCGGCTGGAGAACTGGTGGTTTGGGATGATCTGCTCTTTTGTCTTAGTGATGTGAGCCCTTCTAGGTGGTACCAGTGACCCGGCTGTGTGGGAGTCCCGCAGGGCCCTGGCAGCTTGGTGCAAGCCTGGGACGGCGCCTGTCTCTTCCTTTCCCTGCAGGCAGCCTGTGTGGTGATGGCCCGGGTGCATGCTACCTGCTCCCCGTCTTCGACACCGTGTTTGTCAGGAGGACTTACCGCCGCCAGGGCCTGGGCACGGCCATGCTGCAGGACTTCTGTGAGACGTTCCGTGAGGACGAGGCTCTGGGCGTCAGTTGGCCGATTTCTCCCGCCATGTTCAAAGGTAAACCCGCTTTGTGACAGGCGGAAACGTATGGGCAACGGTGATGGATAACACGTGTGTTCTAGGTGGTTCCGGGGAGGCAGGTTCCTTGACACTCTCTGCGTGTGGGTTTTCTCTTCCTCCTGAGAAATCTCCCGTTGCTTCAGCACAGATGAGACTTTATGCTGTGGCACCAAGGGGGGCGGGGGGAGGCTTTCCCAGCCGTAGAAATAACTGGATTTAGAAATAATAAAAAACATGGCGTCAGAGAGAAGCAGAATCCAGAGAAGTGCACCTGCTGGGCGCTCAGAGGGCCTTTGCGGTTTCACCTGATGCTTAGAGCCCATGACTTAGTCCTTTCAGCTAGACGCTGAAAGGGAGCCCAGGAGCTTTGTCTGGGAGGGCAGCTGGAGTGCAAAGGCAAGCTCTGACCGCACTGAGCCCCCAAGTACCTCATAGCTCTTGCTGCAGAAGACAGTCCCCTTCTTCCATTCTTACCCTACTGAGTCCCCGTACTGGTCAAGGTTCTCCAGAGAAACAGAACCAATAGGGTATACACACACACACACACGAGAGATTTATTATAAGGAATTGGCTCACATGGTGTGGAGACTGAGACTCCCAAGATCTGCAGTTAGCAAGCTGGAGACTCAGGAGAGCCGATGGTGTCATAACGGTGCAAATTCTGCCAGGCTCCAGACCCAAGAAAAGCCAACAAAAAGTTTTTGGGTCAAATCCAAAGGCATCAAAAGACCCATGTCCCAGCTCACCAGACAGGCAGGAGTTCCCTCTTACTTGTGGGAGGGTCAGCCTTTTCCCTCTATATTCAGGCCTTCAACTGATTGGATGAGGCCCACCCACATGAGGGAAGGCAATCTGCTTTACTCAGTCTGTTGATTCAAATGTTCATCTCATCCCAAACGCCTTCACGGACACACCCCGAATAATGTCTGACCAAATATCTGGGCACCCCCTGGCTCAGTCAAGTTGACACTTAAAATGAGCTATCACAATCCCTTTTCATGTTCTGGAAGAGAAATCCTTATATGTATATTTTTTTCAGAGGAAATGAAACAAGCCCTGGTGTTAAACATTACATTCCAAGTCAGTAAGGGGGGCAGATTCTGGTGAGCATCTCTCTAGGTTCCCCACACCCCTGCTGCGAAGTACACCCCTTCCACCTTGGGTACTGTTTCACTTCTTGTCATACAGATGTTTTGGGGCCCTTAGTACTGAGTTTCCAGTACCATTATGGTATGGGGAGATCAAGAGATAAGAGAGAAAACGTAGGGAAGGTAAGGAAACTTCTGTTGCTCTAAAGTCCTAAGAAAAGCAGGTGAAAACATATTTTCAAGTAGGTTTAGTCATTTCTTTATATTTCCAAACTCATGGTCTATAATTAAACTCTGAAGAGCCTTGAATTTCTGCAAAGAGCATTCCAGGATTCCTGTACTGTGTTGCTCACTTTGAGGTGTTGCAAAGTTCCAGAACCACATGCCTGTCCTCTCTCTCTCTCCTAATTTTTGCATCAGCTCCGAGACCTTTGTTTGAGTGCATTGGCCTCTCAATGTGGCCACCTCAGGTTTCCCTAGGGAAGTATCAGTCTTCACGGAGGGGGGAGGGCACCCCAGAACCAGCACTGCAGGTACCCTTGCGGGGTCTTGTGGATCGCTGCTCTCCTTTTTCTTTCTTTCTTTTTTTTAATGTTTATTTTTGAGAGATACAGAATGCGAGTGGGGGAGGGGCAGAGAGAGAGAAGGAGACACAGAGTCCGAAGCAGGCTCCAGGCTGAGTTGTCAGCACGGATCCTGACTCGGGGCTCGAGCCCACAAACTCTGAGATCATGACCTGAGCTGAAGTTGGATGCCTAACTGAGTCACGCAGGCACCCCCCTGCTTTTCCCTTTTCTATCTCTGCCCCATAGAGAAAGAAAATAAGAAGGTGCTGATCTGAAGCACGCGTCGTGTCTTGGGGGTTTGAGCTGCCCAGCTGAGGATGTTGGGGCCTCAGGCTGTTACGTCACCCCTGACTGTACCTGGGCATGTATGTGAACAGGTAGAACATGGAGAAAGAAGCAGCTGGAGGTTCAGGACTGGGTTCAGGTGTGTGCCACCTGCACACTTTACTGACTGGCTTTTTTTTTTTTTT